AAATCATTGAAACAAAATTAAAAATACAACGTACACACACACACACACACACACACACACACACACATTTACCACATATAATTAGAGAGTTAGGATATATTGTTTCAAGATCTGACTACATTCTGAACTGCACACCTTATTTTTTTAAGAAAATCATCACTTCGGAAGCCCTGGGTGGCTCAGTTGGTTAAGCCTCCGACTTCGGCTCAAGTCATGAATTCACAGTGGATGGGTTCGAGCCCTGCATCGGGCTCTGGGCCGACTGCCAGCTCAGAGCCTGGAGCATACTTCAGATTCTATATCTCTCTCTCTCTGCCCCTCCCCAGCTTGCTCGCTCGCTCTCTCTCAAAAATAAATAAACATTTAATAAACAAAAAGAAAGAAAGAAAGAAAGGAAGGAAGGAAGGAAGGAAGGAAGGAAGGAAGGAAGGAAGGAAGGAAGGAAGAAAAAGAAAGAAAGAAAAGAAAATCATTGCTTGAACCAATGTACCAATACAACAGAAAGTTTAAAGGAAATCATTGTAACGGCCAGAGAGGAGAATGACACTTGTGTTAGTATCTTCAATTTCCAGCCCATCTTCTCCCAATACGCCATCCCAATGTTAAACACCTGTATGGGATCTCGGAAGTGGCTAACGATACCTGGAGAAGTGTTTCCTTATCTATGCCTGATTGATAAGAAACATGCTCCTTTTACGTTGAGAACATCTATCCCAAACGTTAGTCAACTCTGAAACTCCAGGTTGATTAATGAAGAGCAAACTCATTAACCTGAAGTCTGTGAGTGGCTCGCACTTTGTTAGTTATTTGATTTCTGTTTTGTGAGAACCTTAAATCAGGAAATGTAGCGATGTTACTATTGGTGGGAGGCCCAAGAGAGGGTGCTGAGCATTTGCTTGTTGAAATTTATATGTGTTCACTGCCTGTCGCTATCGATTCGACTTGGCTGCTTCATCTGTCCAATCCCTATAGCATTTTGCCTTGGGCAGACCTGTAGGGCTTGAACTGAAAAAAAGAAAATAAAAATTGGAATAAATTATCTGGTTAGAACCAAAAAAGAGAAGGAGACAGGAGACGGAAAGAGAAAGTGACGTGACCTGAGTTTCGGCAGCAGGAGAAAGCTGTGTGTGACATGCGGTAAGACTGAAATCGTGACCCGGGTGCCTCACAGAAACCTCTCATCTCAGTGTGGGTTTGTAATCAAAGAGTCATCCTAAAGCTACAACACACTTCTGCAGGGAAGGGATGTGGCGATACCATCACAGTGCAACTGTTCTTGGAAGTGATGGACACTTCATCGTCTTGCCCTCCCTAGAACTTCATGGGGTTCTTACTTCCTCTCTTAAAATAGGAAATCAAGGGGCACCTGGTGGCTCAGTCAGTGAAGCAGCTGACTTCAGCTCAGGTTGTGATCTCATGGTTTGTGGGTTCGAGTCCCGCATTAGGCTCTGTGCTGACAGCCCAGAGCCTGGAGCCTGCTTCAGATTCTGTGACTCCCACTCTCTCTCTCTGTCCTTCCCCTGCTCACACTGTCTCTCTGTCTCTCAAAAAAAGAATAAATCTTTTTAAAAATGGGAAATCAAGCTAGACTATTAAAAAAAAGACAAGACTGAATCATTATACTTCTTTCCCAAACATTTCATGGTCCTATGACCTCATTTATTCTCATGGCTTCTCATTGTGATTTTTTTCTTTCCATTTAGTGAGTACCAATCTTAACAAGAAAATAAAATAAAAAACTCTGACATTTTTGAAAGGCAAAGCAGAGGGGCGCCTGGGTGGCTTAGTCGGTTAAGCGTCCGACTTTCGCTTAGGTCATGATCTCGCGGTTCGTGGGTTCGAGCCCCGNCTCCCTCTCTCTCTGACCCTCCCCTGCTCGCGCTGCCTCTCTCTCTCTCCTAGAAATAAATAAAACATTAGAAAAAAAAATTTTGAAAGGCAAAGCAGAAATGACTTTGATATCACCAATATTAATATTCTTTTTTCTCAATGATTTTATTTTTTAATGTTTTGTTTATTTCTGAGAGAGAAAGAAACAGCGTGAGCAGGGGAGGGTCAAAGAGAGAGGGAGACACACAATCTGAAGCAGGCTCCAGGCTCTGAGCTGTCAGCACAGAACCCAACGACAGGCTCAAACCCATGAACCATGTGATCATGACCTGAGCTGAAGTCAGACGCTCAACTGATTGAGCCACCCAGGTGCCCCTCTCAATGATTTTCTACATTAAACATGTTTTTAGTGCATAGGGGAAATATATTTTTTTCACAGAATATTTTTTTCACAAATTTTGGGCTGGAATTAACATTGTTTTGTAAATATTTTGTATTAACTAAATACATAATTGTAAGACTGTTGTAGCCACCTAGAAAACTACCCTCTTCCCCTCTGCCTGATGGAACAACATAGGAGGGTTGGGAAAGGTAGAAAGTATGTGTGTAAGAGGAAGAGACAGAGAGAGAGAGAAGCCACGAGCCTCTAGATTGACCACACTTGCATTCCTGAAGGCCTGAAGGCCAAGTACAGGAAGCCCATGGCTCACTCTTTCTTGGATCCTTTTTGTTTTTCTTCGTGATTCTCTGTCCTTACTATCAGAACACATGCCGTCATTATTCATCAGAGAGTGTCCTTACCTCCACCTTCCAATAGTGACTAAAACCTCAGCTGAACTTTGATGTTAACTTCATGTAGAACCGAACTGGGCACATTGGAAGCGAAAGTTTACACTTAAATGGTAGCTAATTCATACTACTTAGTGGTAAACTTAATGCACTCAGACTAATTGGGATAATTTTGTGCAGTAAGCACATTTTTTACTGATAGTTACAGTTACGTATAATCTCCCCGCACATTATTCAGAATAAGTGCCTTGTAAACGACTAATATTCCATTGACAGTTTTTTTTTCAGTTATAAATGGAAGTATTTATTTGTTTGCTGGTAATCTTTATAACATTTTATCTAACAATGGAATTAATCTTTCCATGTGTACATTCATTTGGTAGTTAAAAAATTCTCACAAGACTAAGTTATAAATCCATAACTGTGAGTTCATGAGAGATTAGGTGTATATCTAATCTAATAGAGAGTAAAAAGTTAAAAATAGACTAAGAAGACACTTCAGAAAGCACACTTCTATTCAAGTTCAACACTTGAACACTGTGCCCCCTTGTAGAAGTGAATAAATTAACTTCAGTTCCTATTACTTTTGATTTGGGAAGGTTTACCAGAAGCTGTTTGGGGTATTAATTCACTTATTAAACCAAAGTTTATCAAGTGTATGCAATATCTCAGACATTGTCCTGGACACCATGAAAATAAAAGTGAACAAAACAAAGATATTTACAAAGAAGAGATATAGGAAAACTAGTAGTAATAATAATAATAGTAATAATAATATAACAAAAGAACATTGCATAACAGAGGATGAATAAGGTACTGTAGGAATAAGACAGAGTAAGCAAGACAGCAAGTTTCACAGAGGAGCTGGGTTATTTGAGCTGAATCTCAAAGCACAAAGAACTACCACCAGGTGTTCTTAAACTAAGGTGTAGATACCCCCTCAAACACCTCTCAACAGAATACAAGGGGATCCATGAATCTGGATGGGAAGAAAATATTCATGTTTCTTTTCTTCGCACTCTAACTAAAAATTAGCATTTTCACTGATTTTGAATGTAGGCAACAAAATACTAACAATTAAAAGTGACATTAATAGCACCTGTGATTTTCCTCACCAAGAGAAATCACAGATTTTATGAAAGTTTAGGAGAATAGCCCCGCTATCATTTAATGTGCCAAAAAAGAAGTTCATTTATAATTATATCGCAATTCTTAAAATATTTAACTGTCTTTCAATTTAATCGGTTTCTTTGTAACTTGATGTGTTTTACACATGCGTTTAAAGACACTGTTGTGACGAAAGATCCCTGGGAATCACCAGAATGCCAAAAGGGTCTATGGTACCAAAAACATTTAGCAACAGGCCTAGAGGATACAACCAGCTGGAGATGAGGAAGGTAATTTGTGCACTAATAGAATGTATCTGCAAAAGGCTACAAAAACACAGGGAGGGGGAAGTTAAAGGGAGCCCTAAATTTCTTTAGAGACCACTTAGAAGCCCCCCAATCTGAAAAATGCAGCAGCAATGCATCAAAAAGACCTAAGAAGGAATTAGACAGTGCTTTGACAAGACAAAACACAAATTTACTGGAAGAAAAAAAAATTTTAGACATATTGACTGAATAGGAAAAAAGGGCTCAAAATAAAATGTGTGCTCAGATTTTAAAAAATAGGTAAATTATAGAATGGGAAGAGCCTTAGAACAGAGGTGAATGTGTGCGGGGTTGTACGCATCTCTGGCTGCATGTTGGTGTTCAAATTTTCATGTGTAGTCCTTGAAAAAAATGTGAAGAAATTATTAATCATAAAGATGCTGGGGTTAAATGCAAAAAGTAAGGCCTAAAATAATATAATAATACAAGGAGTCACTCCTAGGAAATAAGCCAAGGGATAGAAGCAGTTGTGCTTGAAGGGAATGAAAATCAAGGTCTGCCATCAATGACATTGGTCAGAATGGACATGGTCTTGACTAACAAGTACAAATACTCCTCAATATGCAAGGCAGTCTGTGCAGCTGGAATTTGGTAATAAACTACATGTTCTAACATAGTGTGATATTGAAAGGTCCATCCAAGATAAAAGGGTCCATAAGGAATATGCAGAAAATGGAAGCAAGTAGCTTACAGCTTTTAGATATTTTGCCAAGTTACTGAATACTAAATAACATGGTATTTTATTTTACTTTTATTTTATTTTAAAGAGAAAGAGAGAGAGAGAGTGCGCATGAGTAGGGAGCGAGGGGCAGAAGGAGAGAGAATCTTAAGCAGGTTCCACGCTCAGCATTGAGCTGAATGTGGGGCTCTATCTCACAACCCTGGGATTATGACCTCAGCCTCAATCAGAATTATAACAGACTCAACAGTCTCAACAGACTGAGCCACCCAAGTGCCTCAACAATATGGTATTTTAATGCACTTGTAGCTTCCTATGTTCCCAGCACTATCTTTTAAGTATAAAGACCAGTGGGAAGAATGAGGCAGGGCATGTACATGGTTGGCTCGGAAGCTGGATGAACTCTATGGGTATATTAACTTCCAGAAAAGTGTCCTGGCAAAAGTTCCCAAGTTTCTCAGCTGGGTAAGCAATTTGATGTAGCAGTTACTACCTGAGAAAGTTTCTCACTTTTCTCAAGTAAGTAGGAGCATAAGAAGCTCTTCCGTGGTGGAAACAAATGGTGATTTCCTGCGAGATATTTACCTTCTGTTTCCCTAGGGGTAAACTCAGACTGAAACAGGCTGATAAACTCAGTAGGTGAGTTGTTACCAGGGCCCTAAGGCATTTTCACTTTCTGCTTTGGCACCGAAGGGAGCAGTGAAGAAAACTTTCCTGGAGGTGAGCCCTCAGCCTGTCTCTTTGACTGTGACACCTTGGAAACTGAACATGAGGCTGTGGAGGACACCTGAAAAGGCTCATTCCTCCAGCCCTCCCTGGTTCCCTCCACCCTGCGCTGAAACCGTCACTGAGTACTGGGTCTGAAATCCTAACTTAGTTATAAATTGAATCTTCAGAAACTGAAAGTGCACCTCTACTTGAAATGTGAGACGAGCATACAATTCTTCCATATGTCACCGAGAACTGAGAGCTTAGCTTGATTGTTTTCTTATGTTCGGCGATTTCTGTCATGTTCTAGGACAGCGATATTTTCTTCTGAAATAGAAGGAAGTTCTGTATATTTCATGTGTAAGGCATCCTCGACTCCTCCTTCCTGTCTACCTCTAAACTTGATAAACCACCAAGTCCTATCCTACCTCTGAATGTATTTGAACTTCTAGATTTACCTCCACTCCTAACTGCCAGTGCTGCTGCCACCTAGGGCTCACCCAGAGTACTGCAGCAGCCTCCTACACGCTTTTCTGACTCTGACCTTGTCCACGACAGCCTCTTCTCCACACACAGGCCAGAGCGTTCCCCCTTAACCACTGGTCCTCAGAATGAAATAGAAGTTCCTTAATCTAAGACACAAGATCTTTAATATGACCTCTGACTCTATTTCTAGCTTCATTTCTCACCACCCCTTCCCTCTCAATCTAAGCAACCATCTGACCAAATTACCTGTGGCTCTGTGCAGGCTCGTGGCAATGTGAGCCTTCTAACATGCTATTTCTTTTCCTATAGCCTTCTCTCCCTCCCCTTTCCTGTCCTCTTCCCCTGAAAAATACACCTCCCTCCTCATTTACAATTCCAGAGAGCCCTTCCGCAGCAGCTCTGAGCGAGACACTCTTGTGTCACCTGTGTACCTGTGTCTCTGCTTGATAAGGCCCCGGAAGCCAGGGATGGTGTCGTCATGTTCAGTGTCTTTCCAGCTCCTATTAAAGCACCTCACAGACACTCAGTAAATATCTGCTAGATGCAGAGATGAATAAGATAGGCGTGTGATGAGGTGTGCTCTTTAAAATAACTAATATTGATAGATACTAATGCTTTCCAGATAATATTTCTACATCTATGCTTCTGTTAAAATGCCAAATTAAATGTCACAATTTTGCTATGTGCATAATCACTACATTTGAACTGATGCCTCCTGATTCACACAGGTAGCCTATTCTACCACTTACCTGAAGCAACAAAATCCTTTTTTGCTAAACAACTGGATTTCTTTTTTAAATTTTACTTCATAAAGCATTTCATTTTTTTTCTCCCTAAACTCCCTAAAAATGTCAAAAACAAAAACAAAAATTAAAACAAAACCCAAAGTTTGGATAACCTTTACACCCATAAAATTCTACTCACACAAGGAGGCAAAGAAAATCCACTGACTGGCAAGAGTACTCAAGAGTGGAAGGGACCATGTAGGGGTAAATGTGAGGAGCGTGGATCACAGACATGGGGAAACAGTCCCCAGCCTGCTCTGGTTACCACTGATAGGGAAGCAGGGGAAGATCTGTGGGAACAGTAAAAACACAAGTTGTCTAGAAGCCACAGGTGGGTTAGTAAGTATCCCCAGGCCAATTACTGTAGGGGGCTAGATATCTCAAATCATTTCTATCCTTAAGGAAACCTTATTCGGCCATAATGCAACCCCTAAAGTAACTAATACCTATAGATGTCAAATATAAAACTAGCTGATGCAACTTGATGAAACGCACTGGCTGATTCTTTAGGCATCAGTGTCCTGTTTAAAAAATAAGAGGCACTGGCTCTTATCAGTGCACTTTAAATTTTGTGGTCAGTTTTGACAGCTTCTCTAGAGCCAAGACTAATCCCAAGTGGCCCTGTGAATGAAGCCGACCTCATGACTCGGTACCTGGGAAGCAAGAGGCACTAGCACAGACACTGGGTCTTGGCTGCCATGATTTCACCTGCAGAGACAAACTAGCTATTTCTCGCTTCACCAGACAAGACAGAGCACCCTACAGGCTTCCAGACACACACCTCTCACTTCAAGTGGTGAGAACTTATAGCTTTTTATTCCAATTTTTGATTTGTGGGTTCTCCTTTGTCTTCCCCACCTGGGCCTAAAAAAGTGTATTCGTGGGGCGCCTGGGTGGCTCAGTCGGTTAAGCGTCCGACTTTGGCTTAGGTCATGATCTCACAGTTTTGTGGGTTCAAGCCCCACGTCGGGCTTTGTGCCGACAGCTAGCTTAGAGCCTGGAGCCTGTTTCAGATTCTGTGTCCTCCTCTCTCTCTGACCCTCTCCTGCTCACACTGCTTCTCTCTCTCTCAGAAATAAATAAAACATTATTTTTAATTTTTATTTTTTTCTAGGGGAGAGAGAGAGAGACAGCATGAGCAGGGGAGAGTCAGACAGAGAGGGAGATATAGACTCCCTCTGAGGGAGTTTCATTTCTTAAAATGAAAGAAATTTACTATCTAACAGTTTGGGGGGTTTCACATTTGAAATGAAAGTGCCAGTGCAGGGTCCATGTTCCCTCAGGAATCTCTAGAGGATGCTCTTTCTGGCCTCTTCCAGATTTTGGAAGTCCCAGGCACTCTGGCGTATAGATGCATCACTCCAAGCTCTGTCTCTATCTTCTTTGGTGGTGGTTTTGTGTGTCTGTGTATTCACACCATCTCCGCCCTTCTCATAAGGTTAGCACTCACAGTGGATTAAGGGCCCACCCTACTCCAGTATGATCCTCATCTTAACTAATCCCCCTGCAATGACCCTATTTCCAAATAAGGTTCTCTTCAATGGCACTGATATAAGACTTCAACATATCTTTTTCAGGGGACACAATACAACCAATAACAGGGAAAAAAGAAATCACTCTAGTTTGCTTTAGTATTACTCAGTTTGTGTTTTGTGTGTGTTTAGAGGAAAAACAACTTATTCCTAGGTTCATATTCGGACCAGAAAATAATCCTTTAGTTAGAATGATATGGGGTGTAATCAGTTACCAACTTTCGACTGTGTTCTATCCCTCCACGTTGATAACTAAAAGTGACTCTTCAATTTCCACCACTTTCTTACCTACATGCACTTAATTCCCACTAATCGGCATCAGAAAACTCGTCACCAAACCATCAACTTCCAGAAACTCAGCCCCCAAATTCTTGGCCCTTGTGAATCTCTAACAGTTGTTATCAACATGAGCATTTATTTTTATGTGGCTGTTTGGGCTCTAATCTCAAATTGCCATGCATTTACCCTCACACATCTCAAATGCTTCCATGTGTCATCACCGTAGACTTTCAAACTTTCTTCAGTGATGGTTATAAGAACAAGAATCACAGAAGCATTTATGAAAACCAATTTACCATGAATTGGTATCTGGAGAAGACCACGTAACAGCATCTACAGATGGAGAAGGCAGGATGTATTAACACGATTACACATTGCTTGTTCTTGTGACTCAGAGCCTGAGTCTATCAAGTTGTGGGTATTGACCTGAGATGCCCTCTTTTAGGTAGATGTGTGATGTATTAATTAGCCCTAACATCTAATTTACCCATTTTAGGAACCTAAAGACATCTGTGACAATGATACCAGCAGTGGCCACAGAGAGTCTTAAACTCTGTGGTGACAGGAATGATGGCAAGAAGTACTAGTGATCATGGGTCCAATAAAGGGCATGTCTCTCAGGCCTCTCAGCCAGAGCTGGCTTCTAACCTACGCCCTGGGACAACTATGAAAAAGTCCCTGGCCCCACGGAGCTTACATTCCAGAGTAAAGAGACAGATAGCAAATAAATAAATAAGGACATTTATAATATGGCCGATGGTATAAGCTAGACAGAGAAGAGGGGGGGAGTTGAGAGATGCCAGGAGTAGAGAGAGGTTGGGGGGTAAAGGTGGTGGGTAAAGGAAAGCCCTGCTGAAAAGGTAACATCTGAACCAAAATATGAACGAGGTGAAGTGGGAAGCCAGCTGTTTTCCTGTTCCTTCAGAAAGGAGGACCCTTTGATTTAAAATTTTCTCTTCATGGATTTCGTGTTTAAAACATTTCATTTTCCAAGAACTTAAATTCTTGGGTAATTGCCAAAATATATTCTCTTTGTAGAAAGTCTCTCAGGACACAGACGAAAGTTGGGTTCTTGGCTTTCATAGCAGAAAGCTAAATTCAACTAGCAACTGGACTTAGGCAACAGGCCCCTCACTTCCATGTTTATTCCAGCTCTAGATTTCCAAAGGAATGGTATAAATTTAATCAAAACTAAACACTCCTGCAGAGCCTCATGGTTCCAGCCCAATGCAAATTGAAATGCTGTTTGGAACACGCTTACCAGATGTTGGAACAGAAGTACCAGGAAACAAAGAGGAGGATGGTGCTATTCAGTGACATATCCTAGTGCCTGACACACAGTAGGTGCTCAATAAATTTTTGTTGAGTTGAATTTCTTGAACTCATGCCATTTTCCTGGAGCATTCACCAGTCACTGGGATTAACTTCCTATTTTAGATCTGCTTCTCCCAAGATTCTTATAATCTCCACTTTTTTTTAAACCCTCCATAATGCCAGCACATCACTGGCTATGACTCTTCTTTCAGTTGAGTTACCTGTTAGATTATTGAATTTGTCTGAATGATGAGAAATCAGCAATGTAATAATGTGGGATGTGGGTGGGGGGTACATTTTGCTCTAAATGGAATTATTAGATTAAAAGAACTCCCAAGCTATATTAAAATGCATGTTTGGAGAGTTGGATATCTGGAGGGAGGGACAAGTTCCTCATAGATAATAAAGCCATTTTCTTTTTCATTCCCCTACTGATTGTAGCTGTTTCCAAAAGAGGAAGGTAGCAGCTCTGAAGATCCATGCTTATCATTCGTGGTTCGATCTTAAGGGCTGCTGAAGACACACTCTGTTTTATCATCCAATTCATTTCTCAATTTGTACCAGATGCCATCACTAAGGTGGGGTTTATATTTTCCCAGCATGTGCTTCCTACAAAATTCTGCTGTTGATAGCTATTATTTTAAATTCCACTTTATAAAGCATGTACTCTCCTACTTAGCCATTTTCTACATTTTATCATATCCCAAACCTTTCATTGATGGCAACAGCCACAAACTGTGGTTTGCTCTCAGGAAAAGAGGAAAAGATTTTTGTGAAGAAAGGTAGATCTGGGAAGAATACTAATCCATGCTGAATTCTTTGGTAGAGATAATTTTCTTACCTCTTTTCTGAAAGGAAGAAATGAAACAAAACTCTCTCACTCAAGATGAGTTATATATTTATCAACCACTTAAGTTCAATATATGTTGAGTGCCTGTTATATGCTGGCCATTCTTCTAGATGCTGAGGATACAGGACCAAATAAAAAAGATGATAATTCTTTCTAAATGTTTATTTGTGTTCTAGAGAGAGAGAGAGAGAGAGAGCACACACACAAGCATGGTGGAGGGGCAGAGAGAGATGGAGAGAGAGAATCCCAAACAGGCTGCACTCACTCTGTCATCATAGAACCCAACACAGGGCTTGATCTCACTAACCTCGACCTCATGATCTAAGCCAATACCAAGAGTCAGATGGACGCCCACCCCGGTACCCCAAACAGATGACAATTCTTAATCTCATGGCACTTAAAGGCTGATGTACATGAGTTGGCATTTTACCTCAAATTTTCTACTTTTCATGGGTCATCAAGGGATGGGGGCAAAGGCTGCTATTTTAATGTGCATATCTGGCTTTCCCCAGCTGGATTTTGACTTTAACTTACACTATATGACTTACATCTAAGTTAATTTATTAGCTCCCCATGTATCACCACTGATTTTAAAAATAACAGAAAACACTCAAAAGTTCAAATTCATTAGCTTAAAAGGTTCAACCTTTCCCCAGAGATATAGTTTTTATCATACCATGTGGGCTGCATATAGACCTAAATGGAAAATAAAGAGGGGAAAGTCTGCCTTGCAATGAAACCAGCCGTAGTTTAATGTCCATTGTGAACGGTACAGGTATTCATCCATAAATAGTTCACGAATTGTTCTTTTGGTTATTTTGTCAATTGCAGCCTATCATTACACAAACCATTAAACTTAATGGGTCTGAAACTGGCTATGACTTTAATGCCCGTTAAGCCTCCATTACCTATAGATACAGGCAATCAACGCTGGGGATACCTTCCCACTGTTCAGACAGAAGGATTACTCAAAGATCACTGTCTTCTTAGCACTGTTACCATTAAGGGAAGCCCTATGGTGTCTCCTCAACATGTGGAGACTTCATTACTCAAGGTGAAAATGGCAGAGAAATGCACTTGTCACAAATTTGCTGCAAGTCGATGATTCCTGCCAAGCTGACACATGTAACTTTGCTTTCTCTGATGTCACCGGATAATATAACTCACTGCTAAAGCAGTGTTGACAGTAGAAGAAGGGGAAAAAAATGAATCCGTTGAGCCAAGGATAATATTACAAAAACAAGGAATGACAATGAGGCCATTTCTGCCTGTCTGCATTTCAACTGGCAAACCACAATCTGAAGATGTATAAATATCACCACAGCCACTTTCTAATATAGGATTATGTTCCTATGGTGTGAGCTGAGTATTTTGCCCACAGACCTCTGCAAATAATTACTGGCTAAAAAAAAAAAAAAAAAGAAAAAGAAAAAAGAAAAAAAAAGGATTGCCATCCCTCTCTCCCCCCTTCCTTAGGCAGTACAAGAGTATAGCAAATAAAATGAATCAAACCAGCCTTTTAAGCAACTGCCCAACATAAGTCATTACTTGGCAAGTGGTTATAACTTTTTTCTGTAATGGTTCTTCACAGCACGACATCCACTTCCAAGTAGATGTCTTGATAAATATGGCATCAAAACCCATGCCTAAGGAAAGCAGAGTGGGGATAAAATTATTCCATTTCAGAATGAAATAAGTAAGTCAATATGACCACTGGTGATCTTGTACACAAGCAATGAGCTGACTGAACACATCTGCCTTGTCTGGAAACCTATCTGCTTGCAGATGCTTTAAGGGCAACGCTTGAAACTTCAATTTCTTGATATCTTTCATAGCACTTACCACCATAGGCACTCATTGCATCATTCAGGAAATATTTTAGGTTATGTACTAGTATAGGCACTATGCCAAGGACTGAGATATACAGGTTCGCATATCTGATGGGGCACTCTCATAGATCTTCTACTGTATCTGTGAAGCAAAACAATTACCATGTAATCACATAAACACATAATTACACACAATACTACTGTGATCTCTTCCTTGATTATTCTGAAATGGATTATTCTTCCCTCTGTCCTTCAACAGTATCTTTCTTATTTCTCTATTCAGTAGTTACTACTGTCTGTCTTCTATGAACTGGGTACATGTCTGTCTGAGGAGACTGCAATCTGCTCAATAGTAAGGGTCATTTCGTCTCTTTGGGTTCCTCAACATACATCCTCCCCACTGACCCCTCTCCTCCACTGTCCACCCTCCAGGCCTTCAGCTCCTTCCACACTGCTTTGAACAAGGGGAAAAAATATTGGAATAAAGCTGACCCATTTACTAGCTTTCCTGTTAGGTTAAATTCATTTCATTTTATTTCTTAGTGCTTCCATTTAGACACTGGGGCTAAGAATTTACCACCAGAACTTTAGGGACATTGTAACTCTAAGGATGAAATAGTGATCCTCAATATAAAGGCAACAGGATATAAATAAAAGCCCCTGAAAGGGAGAATAATCAGCCCCAAGGCATTAACCATTTGTATGGGAAAAAGAGCAATTTTATTGGACTTAAGGCCCCAATGTTGTATCATTGCTGGTGGCTATCCATATCCAGTCTTTGGTAAAATGGGAAAATAAAGGCAGAGTAATAAGTTTTTCATTAGCTAAATTTATTCAACTTATTAAGAGCATCTTTTTTAAAATATTCCTTTTAATGAAATAATGGTGACAATGGAATCATTTTTAAAGTGTGTTTTGCCTGTTAAAATTTAAATAACAGGCAACCTATCTTCATTTTTCTTCTGGAGATTTTACTGTCTCATAAAATGTAACTATCTGAGGAACACTGGCCTAGAGTGTCTGCTTTCACTGGCTGGAACAGCTAGGAGCAAAAGTCAACCCCGATATTCAAGTTCATGTCAGGAAGCAGCTTATTGGTCAGTATGCTTCATGAAGACAGCAAGATCTAAGGAGTTTCAGAAGATAACCTCCTTCACAGGAAGCCCTCCAAATTCAAAGACAGATACTGAAGTGAGATATATTCAGCCTTTCTTTTGGTTGAGATTTTTTGTTTTAAACAGAGACAATGAAATTACCATTTTCTGTGGTGCTTATAGCTGATAACATGACTTGAGGTCAGATTAAGAGAGGGGAGAAAAAAGGGAATAGAATATGGAAATGAGAAAGAAGACATGAGGGCAATGGAACACAAAGGGTGAAGAAAGAATAAGGAGTGAAGGGGGCCATAAAGTGAGAAGATAAAAAGAAGAAGGAAAAGAAGAAAGGAATCAGATGCGTGTGGTGCACACGCGCACACCCACACCCACACCCAATCACCACTGCTAGCTCTAGAAGCCAACGGTACATGAATTCTATGCTGCCCCTGGTTTACTGTTCTTTACTTCAGTTGAAGGACAGAAAACCAAGCCTGATATTAACCAACTTCTTATCATAAAAGGATCCAGTACAGTTTTGTCAATCAGACAATAGTCAAAGAAATTCAAGGGCCAAGAACCCTAAAACAAATATATTGTTGGCATAGTAGCGTCTTTACCTTTGCTAACTATGTCTGTTTTATTTCAGGACCAAAGAAATCAGTGAAGAAGGAGTAGATATATACTTCAGATATCAATGAAGGGCTGTGACCCTGTTCTTGTGGACAGAAGATTAAGATCACGTTAAACTCTCCTTCCTGAACTGCTGGTGGTGATAGGGGGTGGTGAGCAAAGAAGAAAATGAAACCCAAACGATTTTTGCTCCTACGCCTTTCCCCCAACTTCTTGCACCTCCTGCCAAGGATCATAGGAGTTATCAATATAATGGATGCTTATATGTTGCTGTGGGGTTTTGTGTGTGTGTGTGTGTGTGTGTGTGTGTGTGTGTGTGTGTGTGTGGTAGATTTTATGTCCACAGAAAACTGCCTACCACTCAGAAACAAAATGAAAGTATGTTCACACTTTGATACCCAGCTCAACAATTGCAGTATTGTGGGTTCCCACAATCTTTTACTCAACAGTGTACCCCTGAGATGTGGAAGCTCCTCTGTTTCCAAGCTCAGTGCTCCCACAAACACCAAGATGGTCTAGGGAGAGCACATGCTGTGTACTCAGTGCCCGAGGACAAGTTCCTGTTATTTGAGTTCACAGGCTGAGAGCCAGAGCTGAGGACCATTCAGCCAGAAAAGTCTCCTTACTGTCTCACTGTCTTTACAGCTGAACCACCTATTGAATAAATATGGTGGTTCCAAACGTCCCTCCAAGTTTCTCTCCATTTGCTTTTCTTTGGGGGGGCAAGTACATTTCCTTTTGTTCATAGGCTAAGTGTTACCTTGAATTTTCGACTGAGTTATGCACATTTGGAAGTTGGTAGGGAAGGGCAACAGCCACCTTGGAGCAAGGATCACGTTTACAAGCCCTGTGATGTAGTTGGGTCATATTCCATTTCTTCACACCCCACCCTGGGAGTGAAGTTTAATGTTCATGTAATAAAGATTTTACCCAGCAGGTGGGAGTAATTACACACAGCTCATATTTCTAGGCAGCAACTTTCTTTCAGACTTATAACCCAAAAGAGCACAGTAGTAGATCCCACAATATTTGTGAACCCTGAATTTGCTAAATCACTCTCCAATTCACAAGGCACATATGGTTAATCAGAACTCAAGAGTCTTGAGTTGACATTATAACTCAAATTTTGCTGAAGATGAGAACAAGTGGCAAATGCTTCCCATGGAACTGAGTGAGTCCTTCATTACAATATCTGCTAAACTCTCAACTTTATTTTTCCGAATTTCATTTACCTGGGGTGACTTTGTTCTTAGAAAATATTGTTTCACACTTTATTTTTAGTCTGAATATACCATGATTTTGTCATGAGTTGCTGTTTCTTCACTGTGTAGTTTAGCCAACTATATATCCATGCTTAAGAAATAATGATACAACTGAATCCAAGGTGAAACATTTACAATCTCACAAAATTGTGGTGACTGATCTGTTATTTTTTGGTCCACATATTTTGGCAACTTTCAGGTGGAGATTAGGTTGCCCGCATTCCATGATGATGCATAAAATATTTTCTGAGAAGAAAAGATTTCTTTCATATCCATTTTGAGACGTTGGAATGTAGTTTATGAAGGCAAATCTTGAAAAAAGTAGCTTAAGTAATACACCTCGCATTTTGCTTCACTATGCTAAGAGCAAAGTGTATGCATATGTATTTCACTTTAATCAATTCATCTTATATAATGTAATGAACAAAATTATTTTCATCTTTACTGGCACAATTTCTGAACCAGTGTTATCACAGAGACTGACTAGATGAGTAACAAATTCATTTTCTCTTCCTGAGCACAGAGCCAAATTACATTTTCCAGTCTCCATAGATGTGGGCGCGGGCCATATGATTAATTCGGACCAATGAGATATGAGCAGAAGGTATGTGTCACTTCCAAACCAAGGCAGTTAAGAATGTGTGTGCGTGGGTGTGTATGTACACACGTGTCTTCTTTCACACGCTCATTCTGCCCACAGTATGCTGGCTTCAGAGTGATAGAGTGACCTTGAAGCAATGTGTCAAGATAGAGGAGCCATCTTCTTCCGTTACAGCAGAGAACAGATCCCTGAGTCACCACTTCGAGGAGCAAATCAACAACTGTGCTGGAGTTTGAATCAATAAGATACAAGTTTATGTTATATTAAAATACTAAGATTTGGGGGTATTTTTTTAAACAATTAGCATGCCTTGACTAATTCATAAAAATAATAAAGTTCTTTTTTCAAGTTTGAATGCCTCTATGTAGATAAAATGTGTTTTTATATTGCATACTATTTTCTATAGAAGCAACACATTATTTTTCATTTGAGGATGCTCTAATATATCGCCCACACTCAATTTTATAAGTTCATAAGTGGCTCTTTTACTTATATGGATAGGTTTCTGGCCCATGTAAGCCCTTTTTCCACCCTTAATTGATTCAATGAGCCTCTTGCAATGACTTCCCAATTTCTCATTGTTTTCTCATTTAGAATTTGCAACTGTCATTCATCTAATATTCAATTAGAAATATAATAATTGTTTTAACCCTTTCTAAGAAAACAATTATTGATGAAGGAATGAGGAGAGGAACTAGACTAGAACTCAGAACACTAAAATTTCAAGTCCAGGGAACCATGAGGCAAACTATTTACATTTACTCTCCTACGTCTTAATTTATGGTAATGCTAACTTCTCCTCTCAATATTGCTTAAAGATATCAGTGTGGCTTCATAATGGAAGCAAAGTGTGGATTTAATTAGTTTTGATAATATTTCAGGTTTTAACACTTACAGCCATAATTTTTTGCATCTGTAAAATAGGCATCATCTAAAGTATCAATTTTCAGGGTGCATCAGAAACATCCTGAAGACACAAGGCATTATTATACTGAAGTATAGGTATTCAAGTTCATAAATGTTTGAATTTTTAAAGGCTTTTCTGTTAACAAAATTTTTTAATGTTTATTATTTATTTTTGAGAGAGAGAACAGAGAGAGACAGAGAGAGACAGACAGAACATGAGTGGGGGAGGGGCAGAAAGAGAGAGAGACACACAGAATCCAAAGCAGGCTCTAGTCTCTAAGCTGTTAGCACAGAGCCCGACGCGGGGCTCGAACCGATGAGCAGCGAAATCATGACCTGAGCCAAAGTCGGATGCTTAACCGACTGAGCCACCCAGGTGTCTCCTTTAAAGGAATTTCTGCAAAACTTTAGTAATTACCACGCAAAGAATATTTGAGACCTCATCTATGGTAATAGTGTTTGTAAATGGAGATGTTCTTCAAAATCTAGAAAATATCTTACTTGTTCTAATACATTTTAATAATATGGACATAGCAAATGTCATTATACCCCAAAGCTGGCAATATTAAGATCCCTTACTTATAAAGGAAATCTCCATAGTCCTTTGGCATTATCACCAAACGAGACTTAGGGCTTTGTTGCCTCCAGATATTTGTGTGTATATGTGTACATATATACATATACATATACATATACATATACATATACATATACATATACATATACATATGTATATATAGACGTCCTGAATGTGAAGATGTTACCTTATTTCACTTTATGGTTAAGGGCATGGGCTCTGGAGTCAGTCTGGGTTCAAATCCCAGCCCTGCAATCACTACTGGTGTGACCTTGATCATGTCTTAACATCATTGACTCTAAGTTTCGAATGAGGATAATGATAATGATTGATCTCATGAGTATTTGTGAGAATGAATGTGAACTAACTCTGGGGAAACACTTAGCACACTTCCTGAATACACACAAGTGCTCACCAAATATGAGCTCTTTCTATAATCCTTGATCTCCATGTTTGAATTGGTCCCCTCTATTCTTATCCCTTTAAGTGAACCCAGCACTGCCACAGTTATTATCCCACTCTTTCCCCACACTTGGCTCTCACAAGATGCCTCAGAGGGGAAGAAATACATTCTTTTCATATGCCAGATTCATAAACTTATTTATTTGCCCCAAGATACTTCTTTGGACATTTAATAAGTCAGTAGAGAGAATGAATTCTACAATTGTGCTAGCTTGACGCAGGATATCCAACGTGTTAGCCAAAACCGTGGCTCTCCTATTACTACATTCCATTCCAACACATCATGAAAAAGTTGACCTCCAAAATATACATTATTTGAATCATAATTGTAATATAGGGTGATTCATTCCATTATGATCACTGGAACTATTATAATACTATTACTCGGATTAATTTACCTCCTAACCAATGTAATAATGGAAGCCTTTTTGGTGAAGGACATTACTCAATGGGATCAATTATTCTAATTATACACACATTCTGCATTTTTCGTCATGCAACTCTTTATTTAAACAAGATTGGGAATGATTTTAGAAGAAATAATTCTATTCCTATTTTCCATGTAATAGTTTAATTTTTGTTAACCAATCAATGCACTTCAAAAGTCAAACAAAGTTGGTAGTTCTACACAATTCTGGCTAAGCTACTGGTTTCACTACTGCTGACAGTGCTGATAGATAAGTGATTGATCATTTAGTGCTTTTACTGCTTAGTCAGCTCTAAAGTTGGTCCTGAAGAAGGCTTTTGTGAGTATTGGGCATTCTTCTCCTCAAAATAGGTGTCAGTGATAGCAGATAAAGTGGCAGTGGCTTTCTCTGGATCATGGCTAGCTAGCACTGACCCCTACCAAACTCTTTTGCATGAGGAGTGAGGGGAAGGTACCTAGAGTACTATTCTCAGATGGTTCTGACAATCAGGATGGATGTGACAGAAAAGCTTTTATCTGGGTTCAACCCCTCACCACCCTGATTGTACGCTCTTCTCCACCGCCACCTTTAGCTCCTAACCCTTCCAGAAAGGCTGGTGTCTCACCTTTGCTCTTTCCCCAAGTCTGTTATCTCAGGAATAACTGGAATGTTTACATGTGTGTACCCAGGGAGAGAAGCAGGGGTGCTGGGCTTATCTTGTATTGGCTTATTTTCTCTGAATATCCATTCACTGTAGTGTGTTTGTGTGCATGTGAGTGGGGAGAGGGGTGTTCTATGTTCTTTTGCCCAATTTATTCTATTTTACTTATGGAAACAAGTTTAATTCTTCTGGATAGTTTGAGATAACCAGTTTGAAGTGACCCCTGCTTGGAGATAAAGCATATGTGTCATCTGAACTGAACAAATGAGAAGATGAGAAAAATACAACTATAACTTGAGAAAATTCCCATTGACAGTCTGACAGTTTCTTTATTCTTTTTACCCCCATTCTCTCATTCTTGGCAGTAAACACCTGACACCCCCATAATA